GATGGCATGCAGAAATTATAAAATTAAAAATATGAAACCGTAATTTATGAAATAAAGAACAATTATGATCTAAAGGGTATCAAAATTTACAAAAAAAAAGCTTAATATTTATTTGTTTACTTTATTAAACATTTCTTTCAATGTAAGTTGTTTAAGTTGCTTCATTTTTTATGTGATAATAATTCTATAAACAGACATCTTTAATTCTATAAACAGACATAATTTCTTGTTCAGTTACAAAGTTCCGCTGTCAAGTCCTATAATTGCTGTGTCTACCGACTAATTTGTCAATCGAAATTTTTTCATTTTCGATAACCTCTGTCACTTTCTTCGCTATCGGAAGCAAATTATAATGACGAGGAACTTTATTTAAATCATATCAAAGACGGAGTACATCGAGATGAAATACTACATTTAGTAAGGAATTATAAGCCAAATAAAATAAAAACATCTGCCCTGAAGATAAGGATAGTGCTGACAGATCAACTTCCAATTCATTGTGCGCCGCGGCGTTAAAGATAAACAAAGGATATGCCTTTATCCATTTTTTGCAGCAATTCCACTTTTTCTTTAATGAACTTTGAAACATACTTTCGCTTTGTAGATCCTTTACATATTAGTAAATATATATCAGAAATTCCATTTGACATAATCGAAAGTTCAAGCTTACTTTTATAAAATTGCTCTAACAGTCTGCAAAAAATAATAAACCGGATCCAATTCGAAGATTAAGGAACAACGCAATCTGCAACATTAACTGAAATAGATAATTTTAGCTTAGCTTATACCGTCCGTTATATTATATTAAATGCGCACTCGTAAACATATTTTGCGCACACGCACAAGCATATTCGCAGCCGTAAAGATCTTACGCGCATGCGTCAAAGTGACGCATGCGCAGAAAGTTTGTAGCTTTGAGGTCCGGATTATGGGTGTCCGAATTAACGACTTTTGACTGTAGTTACTTTCAGATATAGCAATAATTTGCTTCACTTCTGTTGGGAGGTTTTGGACTATTTAACTTGTACAAAATCAAGTAAACCCTCATAGGTACATTGTGGAGAGGTACATTGTGGAGTACATTGTTAAGTTAGGAGATAAAGCACACAGAAACTAGTGAGAACATTGGTTTGCATATTGAGACAAATTTCTGATTGTTAGAAAAGATGCTTAAAGAGAAGGAAATCAATATAAATTAGCCAAAATGTCTGAAAAGGCTTTAAATTAAAAAGATGCATAAATATTTTGTTGAGTATTGTTACAAAACATAAATGTTTTGTAGCTTTTAATATGTAATTATCCTAATATTGTTTATGAATCAGTGTCGTAAATTAAATGTATTTTAAAATGTGAAATTTTATTAGATTGTTATATTAATAAGGCTTTTTTAACCTTTTTCTGGACTACCTAATTTAATTATTTATTACTGCTTACCTTTAAAAATTATCTCTGCATATGAAACTGAGATATTGCTTTTCATTAATTCTTACGTGGTCACAAGATAAAACACAGAAATGTAAAAATTCATGTAAAACTTAGTCTTTGCATCTAGTGAGACTTGAAATGATACAAACAATTTATCATCTCTGGTGCTTTAGTGGCTTATTGGAACCTTAAAGTATATTAACTGGGTTACAATCCCTGGAACTCTACATAAAACTACGACACTAACTGCGGCAGACAGAATCCAACTAACTTTTAAAACTTGCCAACTGTGCCTACATCAGGCCTTTCAGGTTTGTTTTAATCAGCAGGTCTTTCTCTAAGCAAGCAGCAGCAATGACAACATCCAGTTTTGGTTATGAATCATGCTGATTATCATCTTACTTCTCATTTTAATCCATGCCGCTTGGTATAAAATCTACCTATAATTTACTAAACCTGTAAACTGAGTAAGTATGTGACAAAAGGAAACATAAAATAGTAATAATAAAATAAAGCTGTTATTAAAACAAAAATAAAATGTCATTTATCTTCTTATAACTATGTCCAACTATTATGAGTGTAAAATATTCAATGCTACTTGATACATTTTATAAAGTTGATTTTATTCTCAAAGTTATTAATAATTTTGTTAATTCATGTTTAATAATAATAATTCATCCTTCTTATGGATCTATTTTACTTTTAGGATGGTATTACAAAAGTGAAGTTCAGGCATAAAAATTATTTTTAACTGAATTTATTCAGTTCCCATTTGCTCATAGGTTCTTAATTTTTTTCATTAATGGTCCTTAAAAGTACTTATTTTCCATGTGCTGAAATGCGAACGAATGCTGTTTGCCATAATTTATCAAACCAAATCATTCTCAGGATAAAACCTAAATCACAATTAAGCTGACTGCTATATTACAGTTGGTTAAGAACTGAACTCGCTAGTTTTTGGACCTCAGTGTATATACTGTAACATGGACTGTTCTGGAAGAATTGGCCATAGGACTTTGAAAATGTGTTTCTGGAAATCATCCAAAAAATCGACAAGTTGGGTAGAAATCAACAAAATTGTCTCCTGGGCCCATTAAGAATGCATTCGCACATACGAGGGCTATCCAGAAAGTAGATTACGTTTTGGAATAAAAAAATAAACAAAGTATAGGAAACAAATTTTATTATATACAGATGAAAGCCACACTCAAATACTACTTTTCTACATAGTCACCATACAAATTAAGGCATTTATCGTAGCGATGTACGAGCTTGGAAATTCCTTCGTCGAAAATTCGGCCGCCTGCGCCTTTAACCACTTCGTTACCTCTTCTTGCAGCTGTGCGTCGTCATCAAAACGCATTGATTGCAATTTCGTTTCACAGTTCACATGTTTCACCCATGTTTCGTCACCAGTAACGATGCGATCGAGTAAAGAGTCACCATCCTTATGGTAAGCGTCCAAAAAGTTCAACGCTGCAGCCATTCGCTGATTTTTGTGGTCCTCTGTCAAGATTTTTTGGAATCCATCTTGCACAAAACTTGTGGTAACCAAGCTTTTCGCTAATGATTTCGTGCAACAAACTTCGCGAAATTTGTGGAAAACTCAAAGAAAGTTCCGTTATTGTGAAATTTCGATTTTCACGGACTTTAGCATCGACTTTTTCGAGAAGTTCGGCGGTCACTATGCTGGGTCTCCCACTTCGATCTTCGTCGTGAACATTGGTTTCGGCCATTTTGAAATCTTATGACCCACTGACGCACTCCACCTTCAGTGATAATGTTGTCCCCATACACTTCACGAAGCTGCCGATAGATTTCTATCGGTTTACAGTTTTTTGCAGTCAGAAACCTTATTACTGAGCGCACCTCGCAGCTCGCGGGATTTTCAATTAACGCAGACATTTCAAACCGTCACAGTATCTGAACGGAGCACAGCACGAACCTCTCACTAGCACGGCTAGATGCAGACTGAGCTGCACAACGCTCTGACCCTAAGATGGCCGCGCTAGCCCCGCCCCTTGCGGACACAGACGGAAACGTAATCTACTTCCTGGATGGCCCTCGTATCTCAAATTTTACTTAAGCTGCTTTTACAATTTAAGCATTACTGAACTCAGAACTGAAAGCCACAAATAATTAACCTAGTAAAATAATGCACAGCAGTACACAAAAACAACTGCACAATTAAAAAAAGATTAAAATATTTGCAACAATAGTAATTTTCAAATATTGCATTAAGAAAGAAGAATCTTATAACACTAAATAGCAGACATTAAATTAAAAATGCCATTTGCCATGGCAGAGAACATTTTCCCTTTGAAATGCATACAGCCCTGCATGAATTCAATTAAATAAGGGTATAAATGTTGGTAGGCATCTCTTTGACACTACCCCATAAGTACTCAAGAGATTGGATATGATAACTAGCGTCCAGATCAACGAAATGTTTAACACTTTGGCAGTTACACGAATAAAAAATTCTTTCTTCTGAAATACATACGATATCTATCAGTCGCAGTCAAAACAGGTGGCACTTATTTTCTCCATAAATACTTTGCTCAGTGTCACCATCTGTAAGCCAGAAAAATAGAGATGGTTTTGAAAAGAAAATAAACTAATAAATTTAATAAAAATACTTTATTTGCCATTAAATATTTTCACATGTTATTAATCTGTCAATATAATAATATTTTGGTGCTGGTTTTTTAAAATGTAACAAGCCATGTTAGATAATTAATTCAATAAGGCATATAATATTATAACAATAAAAAAACTATTGAATATATATATATATATATATATTTACTTAAAAACAGTTTTGTGTGAAGAAGGCCTTGAAACATGGAATAGTACACAATATAATATTTTGCACCATTATAAAATCTTCTCCCTTTGAATCATATTCTGAACTTTTAAAAACAAAAAGTGTATCCGAATCACTTTCATTATCTGAAAAAAGGTTTTTGTTTTCAGAATGAGATTCCTTATTAAAAAAAAAAAAAAAAAAAAAAAGTTTCTAGCTATAATGTGAATTCAAAATATAGCAATAAAAATTCCTGAAAAAACTGCTAAGTTCGCTTTTACTATGGAGGAAGTTATCCAACTGCCATCAGTGCTTTGTAAAATCAACAAATTTGCATGTTCAGCGCATTCATAACACTTGAAAGCACTGCATTATTTTGAAGAATGAACCCACTTGATCTGCACGCATTGGGACTAAAGTCTAATTCGCCAGTGGGTTTTGTTCATTACCATTAGAACAGAAACCTGTAATGCAAGTCATGTTCATTTGGACCCACTGTGGTGCATAACTGGGATGCGAGCTAGGCTCTTTGATGACCACCAAAAGGTTTTTTAAAAAAAACCTATTTAAATGAAAAATATGAATATGTGAGTGATGTTTAGAAAGGGAATTTCACCACGAAACCAAACCAAACCGGTGAATGAAGAACTGCACTAAAGCAAAAAAAAAAAAAAAATCGCCGTATAGCTTTAATATTAAAAAACCGAAGATTTTTTGGGCGGAGATGAGAATTTATTACTTGTGTATGATTTATTTTTTTATTCTGCAGGATGGATGCTGTAGTTGGTTATCGTGTGAAACAGAGCAGTTCATCTGACAGTGATTCTGAGGACAGTGACAAGGAATGCACATTTTGGAAAAGAGCTTCCAGGAAACCTAATAAAGATGTTGTTGAGAAGGCTTCAACAGATATATCACCATCTGTTGAAAGTTGTATTGAAACAACATCCTTAGAAAATGTTGCTAACCCTGTAGGACATTCTACTTCCCAACAACAAAAACGTAAAAGGAACACTATCTGGTCAGATGTTTTGGAAGATCAATTGATAGCTGAGGACTTGGGAGGTGTCCTTCTTAAGAACAAACCAAAAGGATATGGAAGTAGAGGTCATGAAAGCTATGATTACACGTTAGGTTATCAGTATCATAAAACAAAAGGTGATTTAGACAACCGCATATCTGCTAATGAATACTCAGGAGAATCTGAAACCAATTCTAGGACATCAAGTGATTTTAAAAAAATTTATATGAGAAACTTACCTAAATTAGATGGTACTGAAACTTCAGCTGCTTGGAAAATAGTTAATGTGCTTAATGAAAAGAAAAAATATTTGATATGTAAGTAATCTAAGTTTTTTTAATGCTTCCTTATATTATTCTTTTATCTAATGCATTATAATAATTTGGCAACATTGTTTCAAGAATGTTATTTTGTATTGGACGATATTTCTTCCTTCCTTTTTGAAATGGAAAATATTTATATGTAACAGAATTTGATTTTCTCATTGAAACAGAGTTTCTTAAACTGTGGGTCGCGACCCCAATTGGGGTCATGGAACCTGCAGCAGGGAGTCACCAAAAATTTTAACAATTTTGATATTTCTTTAACTTATAATATTTTTACAATTACCAAATATCTTTACTTAATGTATCTGAAAATAGATAAAGATAAGACAATACAGAAAAAGCAAAAACGAAAACATTTCGATACATTTTTTTATGATAGAAACGTTCAATTTACTTTAAAAATTAAAGTTAATGACTTAAAACTGCAATAGTATATTACAGTACAAGCGAAGAAGCTGATAGTTTCACTCGCAGGTGTGTTGGATTTGTGCAATGCTTATGGGGGGTCCCATAAAATTTTCATAAATATTATGGGGTCCCCACAACAAAAAGTTTAAGAAACCCTGCATTAAAACATTGTTGTATTTATTTCACTGATATTTAATGATTTTTGAATCCCTTATCTCATATTAAATAGTGTAGCCTAGCCATTTCATTAAGTATGTTAAGTTGGATTTTTGAGTGATGTAATGCCATACATTTCTGAAATAACAGTGGTATTTTTTATTAAAATGTCATACTTTATAATAGAGTACTAATATTATCCCACATTAATTGTTGTAATATGTATATATTGCAACAATTTAGATTTAGGTTTCTAGTATATTTTAATCATGTACTACATATTCAACAATCATTACATTAAGTTTGTATTTCATCCTGAAAATATAAGCCTGACATTTTTTAATTCAAAAATTTGAAGCAAGAAGATTTGATTTCTAATATGAGAATAAAGATGCAAAATTTTATGTATTATTTATTATGTATGTAATAATAATAAGTTAATTATCTTTGTAACTAGGTCATAGCTGTAACAGATTTGTGCAATTATGCAATTATTTTGTGGCGTAGTTAGAACAATGCACAATGAAGGAGAGACTTGTAGACAGACGTGGCCAAACTGAACACAAATTTTTATTGCTGGACAATGAACTGATTATCAAAACATATTCTTCTTCATGCATAATATTGGGTACAATATGCACTCCACAATTTCATACGGCATATCACATTTTAGATAACAGCATAGTTAGCAGCAAGACAAAGCAAAGAAGGCGGCGAACCAAAGAGCAGGCTGGAAGAAGAGTCAAAGTGTAAGAGAAAAAGACAAAGATCTTTTGCTGGGTTAAGATTTTGTCACCTTCTAGGAATAATTGTGCGACAGAGATTAGATGATGGATCTTTTTTCAGAATTACAGGGATTAAAGATGATGATAGAAAGGTTATTGCTTTGTTATTTTTAGATGAAGAGAGAAATTAAATGGCTATTGTTAATTTATTATTAGAATGGTAGATATTTTTAAATGTCCCCCCCCCCTTCAACAAGAAAAAAGCCAGAGAAGAGAAAAGTCTTTTTAGAAGAAAGTACTAAAACATAAGCGAAAAAAAGAAAAATACAATTTTAGGGGGAAAAATTTGATGTAAATAATTTTTTAAAATCTTGTAGATATCATTTTTAACAATAAATGCAAATTGAAAAGTCTATTGAAATTTTTAAAGTCTGCAAGTTCAATTTTCTGTTAAAATGCAGTAGAGAATGTCTTAATTTTTTTCAAGAAATAATTGGAAAAAGTTCATGGTTCTGGAAAATCTTTGCGTGAATATCATAATCATAATATTTTACTGTCCTTATCTTGAAAGTCTTTCATAAAAATTGTTATTAATATAAATCCAAAATTCTCTTTTACATATTCATAAAATATGTATTAAAATTATATAACACTTAAAAAACAATCCACATTTTATTAATTGTAAAGCAATGTAAAATATACTTTAGAAATTAATAAAAGAAACTTACAAAATACAATACAACAGAATGTCTGTGATAAAAATGAGCAGATCCTCACAAAGCAAATCAGCATTACAACTTGCTGATGGCTGTGGTATCCTTAAGTACAACAGGAGATAAAAACCTTCGTTCCTTAAAAAAGGTAGCTAGCTTTTAGTATTGTAGAATTATCAAAGTTTGCATTTATAACTTATGGCAGTAAAAATCTTCAAAGTAGTTACTTGAAATAAAAAAATGTTCAAAAATTAAAATTTAAGACAATTAATTCTGTGCTCAAGTTAGGTTTTTTAAATTTTGTAAACTAAGTTCTACATGGCTTCTAATAATATAGACCATATAATTTTGTAAATATAAAATAAAAAAATAAATAAATTTCTTTATTATATCTGTTTAGGGAAGACTTAAAACTTTTCAAATACAAAAATTTTAAATACATCTATTAATTACATTACAAAATTGCAAGAAATTTCAAAATATAATTTTAATGAATATTTCATTTGAAATAATATTACTAAAATTATGATTTCTATTATTGGCATTTCTAATTTAATTAAATTACAAAATTGCAGGAAATTTCAAAATATAATTTTAATTAGTTTTTCATTTGAAATAATATTACTGAAATTATGCTTTCTATTATTGACATTTGTAATTTATTTATACAGTACAAAGTCCGAGATGCGGACTCGTCAGGACTTCCACGATTCTGAATTTGGGATTTTTCTGGATATTAGATCATCAATTTAAATCTAGTAAGATGGCATTTAGAAATTATAAAATTAAAAATATGAAATTGTGATTTATGAAATAATGAAGCATTTATGATCTAAAGAGTAACAAAATTTACAAAAAAATAAAAATAAAAATAAAAAATCGTAATATTTATTGTTTACTTTATTAAACATTTCTTTCGATGTAAGTTGCTTTGTTTTTTCTGCTAATATTTTCTCTTTTATTCTGTAGACAGACAGAATTTCTTGTTTAGTTACATTGTTGAAGTTCTCTAATTGCTGTGTCGAGAATTCTGACTAACTTGTGAATCGAAATTTTTTCGTTTTCAGTAACCTCTCTGTCACTTTCTTTACTATCGGTAGTGGTATTTTATGGATTTAGAACCAACAATACTACAGATTTTGCCATCCATTAATTGACTGATGATTGAGGAGCATTGTCATTATAATGAAAAACTTCTGTATATCATCTTCATTTATTACTGCTTCTCCACATTTCTTTATAAAATTTGTTAATCGGAAAATTTTACCTTTGGTTTGCAATATCCGAAAACCTTTAAAATTTGCAGCTATCATCATAAAATTTAGCCATCGTTCACTAAACATATTTGGCTATGTAAGGTAAGATTGGCGATTAAAGAAAAGTTCTTCCGCTAAATTTTATGTTGCTTCTATCACACACTGACACAATTAAGCCTGAATTGTATTAGTTTTGTTATTTATTATTCTTATGTCTATTTCTTGCACATGCTTATGGCTTATCTGAGTCCTTAATCAATAAATTCTCACATATACTTATTGAGAGCCGGTGCTAGATGTCTTGCTGCCTGATGCAGTCTCTGTGGGTCCTAAATTCTCTTACCAAGTGCCTCCCTTTGTCCGCCTTTGTCTCCAGTAAATTCTGCCGCCCAGTGCAGCCATATGGGCACTAGTTCTGGGGTTATGTGAATAACAAATCAGTTATTCTTAATTGAAATAGCACTAAATGTAATCTTTCGGCCTACGTGTATCATTAACAAAATCTATTTTTAGAATACAGAAAGAAATTTTTATTAAATTTTTCCTCGTCAACATTTCTTGACTCATTTAACTTAAATCTGTTATCATTGCCAAGCGTAATGTAAACATAGGTTACCATATCAAACTGAACCATACCATACTCTATTATTCAATTACTAACATAAAAAAATTGTTTAGGCATCGCTATACAAGTCATTACTCAAGTTGTCATGTGTTGATAAAATATAATAAATAATTCGCCAGGGATATAAAATATTAGTAGGTATAAAATCGATGTAGAATGTTTTGATATGTATGCCAAGCAGATATGCACATACAGAGCCAAATTATCGATCATACAAGTTTATGCTAAAGTTATTGTTTCTTCAAAAACGTTTTATTATGTGCACGGAGGGGGAGAATCAAATGCGCATGCATAAAGCATAAAAAAAAAAAAAAAAAAAAATGTTGGTGGCTTTGAGGTCCAGATTTTAGATCATTCCAGATACTGGATGTCCGGATCTCGGACTTTGTACTGTATTACACAAACTGGAAGACCCCACAGCTTTCTCTTAATAACAAACATTTCCATCTAATGGGCAAATCCACATTAACGAATTAGTGTTTATTCACCATGGTTAAGGATGCTCTGGCAGTTACTTATGAAGGCCTAAATGAAAGCATTCCTTGTTTAAAGACAACTGGCCTTTTTAAAAACTGTTCTAAAACATTATATATATATATATATAATTAAAATCACTCTTATAAAAATACTAATTATATATGAAAAAATTTTATGAGGAGAGCTTTCAAAGTTTATAATCACTTCAGTCTTACAATAATCTCATTGTTAATCCACTAACCGTCAAAACAATAAGGAATGATTTTTTTTTCTTATACAAATAATAATAAGTGTTAAATTAAGTATATAAAACATAAATTTACACTGAAAATATTTTTTAAAAAAGTGCTCTTACCTGTGGAAAACTCAAGTGTTCTGTTCGCGTAACATCAGTGGAATAAGAATACAGATGTTTAGTGAGTATGATTGTACTCGTGCAAAGTTTTCTTAGAGTGGAGACCCTAATTCCAATCCATCTTTACCATCAGCCTTTAAGGAAATTATGTTTTAGTTTTCTTGTTTCATCAGTAGATAGCACCAGTATCTTAACTCCTGTCCAACCATTCTTATCTTATCACTATACCTTATCAGGTTTATTTGCTCTTTGGATGGTGGTTCAGTATAACTATCA